AAGGATTTCAGATCCAGAGCAAGGTCATCTACCAGTTCAGTATCAGGTCCCCACAATGATGGGCAAGAGGGCAGCTCCTCCCTTCCTGTCTGTCTCTTGAATAATTTAAAAAGAAGTAATAAAATCAAGGAGAAGAAGGTATTACAGAACATCAATCAATCTTATAGGTGCATAAAAGAGCATGTCTCTTACCTGAACATTTTGAAAATCTTCTTTCATTTTCAACTGTTTTGTGGTAACCATCTTCCTATAATTAAAATGGCAACAGTTCATTAATAAAAAATGGAGCTAGCAACATTCCAACAGTACGATGAAAAGTAAAAACAAAAAACCAAAAAAACTAAATGGCACCCCCGCAAAAAAAAAAAAAAAAGAAAAAAAAAAGAAAACAGATGCTTGCAACATGCACTGGTCACCTTTTCTGCTCTGACCATTTCTTAAATTTTCTATATCAAACACCAAAGCCATTGTACAAGTTTCTTTTCAGAATTTAAGAAACTCAATACAGAGTGAGTTACATTTTCTTGCTAAAATTATCTTTTGATACTAGGATTTCAACATGAACATTGAAAATTCAGAAACTGCTTACCACTCAGCTTCCTCCATTTTTCCTTTGTCTTTTTTCCCTCTGGTTTTATATTTTTATTTGTTGAATCATCATGTAGATTTGCTTTCCATGCAAATATAAGAGCAAAAATAAACAGATGAAGGCATAAGGAATTATAGGAAAATATGACAGCATGCATAACTAAGATTGGCGTTCTACTCCAGGTATCACTATAACATGCTGCATTTTATGGAAATGATTATAACAAAATAAACGCATGGTATGGTGAGCCTATTTGTTACAGGGAGTCGATGTCCTGCAGATATGGCTTAATTAATTACTGCAGTAGATTACAGTCAGTTCAGCAACATATGGTATAGGACTCCATCAAAATTTTACTATTGGGCTGCATAGGGGGTATAGCTACCTAATCCTCTATATGCAAGCACCAACATTCCATCTGGGTACTGGTTTGTGTCCTGGTTGTTGCACTTCTGATCCAGCTCCCAAAGCAGCAAAGCTTGGCCCAAGTGCTTGGACCCCTGCAACCCGGTTAGGAAACCCAGGATAACCTCCAGGCTTCTGGCATTGTTTGGCACAACTCAGACTGTTGCAGTCATTTAGGGAGTGAACAAGCACACGGAAGGCCTTCTCTCTGTCTCATCTTCCTTCCATTTATATCAGTCTGCATTTCAAATAAAAACAACACATTTAAAATAACCACCTCACTATACAAAAATATGCAATAAAACTTGAAGGATATGTGTGGAAAATGTGTTACACTCATATCATGTTAAAGAATTGTCAATGATTTCAATATAACAGACTAGGAAAAAGGCATGTGCATTTGGACCAGGGAAGAGAACACAAGAAAAACAGAGGGAATGCTTTCTCCAGAGAAAGTTAGAGAGGCTTGTAGTAGAAATTCCGCAAAAACAACACAGGTACAGTAGAGCAGTGTGGACAGCACAAACACATTAGCAAGTAGGGCCATCACCCACAACACTCCAGCTGGGAGCTAGAAGAGTTGCCATCCTCAGAAAATGATCTGAAAGCCCTGACACTGGCGATACTGCCTGAGGGATAACTTTGAGGACCATACTGACTTTGAGTATGGCCTGCAGCTGTGGTAGGGCAGGGGCTAGGGGACTGATCTAACACCATGAAAGAAACACCCATTTCTTTCTCCCCATTCCTTGGCATGGAAGCCAAGCAGGGAAAAAGCTGTCTTAATGCCAGTACAGACAGCAGTGACTCTTGCATGCTGTGACCAGGGAATTTTATCAGAGGGTGAATCTGTGATTCTCCACTGACTGAATCTTGTGTAAACAGCACGCAGTGATCTGGGCACCCACTTCTAACTTACAAGGTGCTCACATCCCCTAACTTCACCAGCTCTGGAGGGCACTGACACTGCATTTCCTGCACCCTGTGACTGTAGCATCCTTGAACACTATCACTGTCATAATGTTGGGTCTACACAATCACTATGTTTGGTATCAGGTAATCAGATATTTGACTACTAGTGGAGGGTTCATGGCTCACACTGAGAACCACTCAGATCCATGTACCTGCATAGTATTACACAGAATATTGTTTAGGAAGTAGATTATACAAACATTCTAGAGAAACTGAATCACAAGCACATTGACAATCTAAATAGATGAATAACTAGGACTAAAGACCTTCCCATCAAAGTAAAAACCTGGAGAAGACTGCTTCAACGATGAATTCCACCAAAACTTTCAAGAAGAACTAATTCCATCTATTCACTCTCTATTCAAAACAATGGAAAGGGAGACAATCTTCCCAAATTCCTTCTACTAGGCCTGCATCACTGTAATTCCTAAACCAGGGAAAGATACAACAGAGAAAGAGAACTCTACACCACTATCCTAGATGAACACAGAAGCAGAAATTCTCACCAAAACAATACCTAATCAGATCCAACAACACATCAGAAGATCATCCTCCCAGGCTGGTTGGGATTTATCCAATGCAGAGATGGTTCAACACACACACAAATCAATAAATGTGATAGACTACATCAACAAACTGAAGGAAAAACCACATCATGGACCTGGCACAGTAGCCTAGTGGCTAAAGTCCTCGACTTGCATATACAGGATCCCATATGGGCATCAGTTCTAGTCACGTCCACCCTGCTGCCCATCCAGCTCCCTGCTTGTGGCCTGGGAAACCAGTCAAGGAAGGCCCAAATCCTTGGAACCCTGCAACTACATGGAGACCTGGAAGAGACCCCTGGCTCCTGGCTTCCGGCCTCAGATCAACTCGGCTCCAGCAGTTGTAGCTGCTTGGGGAGTGGTTCAACAGACAGAAGATCTTCCTCTCTGTCTCTCCTCCTCTCTGTTTATCTGACTTTCCAATAAACATTGAAAAAAATACAAAATCTAAAAAAAATATATCACATGATTATTTCAATAGATGCAGAGAAAGCATTCAGTAAACACCAATGTTACTTCATGTCAACAACTTTGAGCAAGCTAGACAAAGCAGATCATTCTTCTACACAATGAAAATGCTATATGAAAAACCCAATGTAAGCACATAATGAATGGGGAAACACTAGAGGTATTTTCACTAAAAAGCCAAGGATGCCCACTCTCACCACTTCTATTCAACATGATGCTGGAAGCTGTAGCCAGAGCTAATGGCCAAGAAAAAAAATCAAAGGAATACAAATTGGAAAGGAGGAAGTTAAGTTATTCCTGTTTGCGATTACATGATGCTTTACATAGGTGGACCAAGAGACTCAACTAAGAGACTAATTGAACTCATAAAAGAGTCCATCATGGTCACAGGATGTAAAATCAACTCACATCAGTGTTCTTTCTATGTGCATATAACTCTGTGCCTGAGAAAGAAACTGTAAGATCAGCCCAATTCACAATAGTGGAGGAACATATCTTAAATACCTTGGAATAAACTTAACGAAGGGTGTGAAGGATCTTTACAATGAAACCTACAAACATTTTTTCAAGAAATAGAAGAAATCAAAACATGGAAAGCCTGACATATTGCAGAATGGTGGGATCAACATTATCAAAAGGTCCATATTACTGAAAGCAGATCTACAGATTCAATGTGATTCCAAAAATTCCAACGACATTCTTCTCAGAGCTAGAAAAAAATGATGAAATTCACACAGAGAAATAATTTCAAGCAAGAGTCCTCACATTCTTGGCCAAGCTGTACAAAAAATATACTCTCCCCTAAATCCATTCCAGGCTAGTCCCAGTGCTACTCTCCCAGTAATCTCAGAATAATTTGTTAGGCAGGAAAAGAAAATTAACATCACATGTTTTGGGAGACATTCAGTTTTCAACCAGATGAATTTTGTGAAACAAGGAAGAAATAGCAATTCAACAGTAAAAATACGCAAAATTTGAAAATGACATAATATATATAACACATCAAATAAAGCTAATGTGCATATGCATAACTGGTCATTTATCATAGCCTGGGCCAAATCACATGAGGCTGGGTGTCAGAAATGGAGATGTTCACAGGAAGCTTTAATCTATAATTAGGAATTTGCATTTCAACTATAAATAATTAGAGTTCAGGAAAGATCACATGGGCATATACCAATTTTTGAAACTGACTCCAGAGTGGGGATTGGACTGAAGGTAGTCAATTAGAGTCCTGGTGGCAGTTTGAACAAGGGCACTATTAGTGGAACTGAGAAATGTAGGTAAAACTGTTGGTTCATAATAGGATTGATACAAGAGTAATCCGCAAGTTTCCAGTATCAGTAATTTGGTAGGTGAGTTTGCAAGGGGACTGAGTGTTTGGGGAGTCTTTGAGGAAAGCAATCCATTCCTTTTGGGTACATAATGAATCCTGGATTTCTGTTTAAGAAGAAAACCCAGTATTGATGCATAATAGCACTGGGAACCAGATGTCTGGGTTAGAGAAAAGAGATATGGAATGAGAGCCACAAAGGCATGTGAGCTCACAAGAAGTAGGTAGAATGGAAACAGAATCCAAGATAGAACTCGGAGAAATTTCAACCTCAAGAATGCTCAGATCAAGAGGCCAAAGAGAAATCATGGAATAAACATATAGAAACACAAACAGCAATTTTGGCTTTCCTGGACTAACTGTGGACTGCATTCAAAAGAATTGGTGAGCATGGCAAATTGCTGCTGAGGAAGAACCAGAGGAAACCATGAAACCCTAACTGGAACAGCATCAAGTAGGCTTCCTGTGCCTTGGCCCAAGTTCAGAGAGACTCAGAACAATTACTGGTAACTCAAGAATGACTGTCAGCTCTTTTGTCCATATATACATATATATATATATATACCTAGCATTAAAACTCCTCCCCTTTTCTCCAGTAAGTCTTTGCCTTTTACTTTTATTTTGTTGAGGAAATTGTCCAGTTGATGTTGAGTTCTTTCAGCTTGCTGTTTGTGAATAAGTACCAATTACCAAGTGTTTTCAGGACAATTTTCTTGCCACCTTTACAAACTTCAGAAATTTGTAGATGGTTCTGTCCATATAATTCTCAAGTTTTCTTTTCCCGAGTTGGCAGAAACTAAGCTAAGCAACCAGCATAAAAAATTAATTAAAATCTCAGCAACTTGGGCCAGGCACAGTAGCCTCCTGCCTGAAGTCTTTGCCTTGCATGCACTGGAAGTCCACATGGGTGCTGGTTCATGTTCTGGCTGTTCCACTTCCTTTCCAGCTCCTGCTTGTAGCATGGGAAAGTGGTAGAGGATGGCCTGGACCCTGGAGATGCTACACCCAAGAAGGAAAACTGGAAGAAGCTCCTGGCTCTTGGCTTCAAGTCAACTCATCTCTGGCGGCTTTTATCACTTGGGCAAAGAAACAGCAAAGACCTTTGTCTTTGTCTCTCTTTCCCTCTGTAAATCTACCTTTCCAATAAAAATGCATCTTTTTGCAAAAAAAAAAAAATGCCATCTCCTCATCTATTATTTTTATCATAAAAAGGCTTTGAATTTACAAACAGCCAAATGCAAGAGTGTTCCCTCCAGGGTATGAGTCTCGGGGAGCTACACGCTAGCCAGGACCATGTAACAGCTACTCAGCACTTCTAACATTCAGGATTCACCAATTACTTCTGGATCTCAGATCAATCTATAGCAAGACTCAAGACATTATATCAAGGGAAGAACTTGTCACAATTTTCTATTTGTTTACTTTGTATCACTACTTTAGAATTTTGTGAGACTATTAACACGTTTACAAAATACTACATTAATACATTCCTTTGAATCTGTTTATGGACTTCTGTAGTATTATATTATACAAAGATTTGAGAATGAATGAACCTTGACTCTTATTCTTTGATATGATTACCAGTTCTTGCCTCATTTTATCTTATAATAATTTTGTTCAACTGAAAAACAAGTCCATCTATAAACTAAAAATAAATTTCTTTACCCATGTGTTCCAGTTTTGGAAAACTGAATTACTGGTAAAACTGGGTCTTCAAAACCAAAACTATGAATCTACAGGTTTTCACCACTCATCTATATTGCTTAGTAAAGCATTCTGTTCTCACAGGAAAACTCATACTTTTATTACATATACTAAAGTCAAGATAGACTAACAATATTATCAAAATATTTCATTTTCTGAATGCTAAAATTAAACAATCATTCACTATAGGAGAGACAGGAAGATCATCCATTTGCTGGTTCACTTCCCAAATGGCACCAATGGCTGAAAATGATCCGATCCAAAGCCAGAAGCCAGGAGTCTCCTCTAGGTTTACCATGTGGGTGCAGAGTCTAAAGGCATTGGGCCATTCTCTACTGCTGTCTTAGGCCACAGGCAGGGAGCTGGAAGGAAAGTGGAATAGCCGGGACATGAACCAGCACCCACTGGTACTGCAGCACATGCAAGGCGAGGACTTCAGTTGCTAGTCTACCACACCAGGCCCAACAACACTTTCTTATTTTCAATTTTAGAACCTACTCTGCTTCCAGTCATCTTTTTAACCTATACCACTAATACTCTTTTTTGATCATAGTTTTTTCCAAAAATAATATTAATATCATCGAGCAGTTATATTTTGTTTGCATACTTGTGGAATTACCTGTAGCTTCATTTCTTTTTGCTGTTCAACTAGAATTTGAAAACAGCAGTATGTACTAACATTCTGATTTAGCTCAGTTTAAATGGAATACCTACAGTATTTTTAAAGTTCATTTACAGTTTGAAATGGGCTTTTCTTATACGAGTAAGAAAGTTCAATATTCTTACTGTTTCTGAAAAAAGTGATTGGTTTTTTTTAGTGCATTTCTCCTGCTCTTAGATAAACACTTATGTTTATGAACACTTCTCAAACGGTATACTATAAACACATTTAGTCAAAATTATCCAAAATTATCCAAAATTATTCTCTGTGATTTTTTTTCTTCCTCTGTTAACTTTAAAGGAACATGGCATCCTTTACCTTCAAGGCCACTTTCAGTTTTTCCCAAAGGATTCTACTCTCAGATTCCAGATCATCTGCTAATGTCTAGAAAAGAAGAAGAGATGGAAATATCATTGTATATGTATTTATGATGACCTTTCTAATTCAGATAGCCACAATGATGACAGGAGTTTAAGTATCTGATCACACATTTCTCATGCATGAAGATGGGTATTACTTGGTACAACAGATTCCTGTTGATTTCCTACCTGCAAACAGACAAAGAATCCAGCAAAAAGCAATCACTGTAAAGTAAATATTTCATGTCTCCTCTTCTCTAGGTCTCACACATTTATTTTTAAAGGTTTCTGTATGTAGTTTCTCCCAAGCCTGGAGCCAGGAACTGCTTCCGGGTCTTCCATGTGGGTGTAGGGTCCCAAGGCCATGGGCTGTCCTCCACTGCTTTCCCAGGCCACAGACATGAAGCTGGATGAGAATGAGGGAGGCCAGGACACAAACCACCACCTCCAAATAAAATGCTGGTGTGTGCAAGGTGAGGACATTAGACACTAGGCTTCCATGCCAGGTGCTAATTATCACATATTTAAATAGAAACATTTCAAGTCTTACTACAAGAATCTACTCTTTAAAAAATACACTTATTTTGGCTGTAACAACTAGTAGATTCTAAAAGCAAAAAAGCCTTAAGGGTTTTCTGTCAGATGGAAGATAGTTTTCAGCTCTTGGCTTCCATGATGCTTCCATCTTGGCTGAGCATGTGACCACCAAAACTTCAGGCCAAAGTGCAAATACCAACTCACTACCAATCAAAAGTAGTAAGGTTCCTTAACACACACACAAAAAAAAAAAAGGTGACCTGGCCTAGCGGCTAAAGTCCTCGCCTTGAACGCGCCGGGATCCCATATGGGTGCTAGTTCTAATCCTGGCTGCTCCACTTCCCATTCAGCTCCCTGCTTATGGCCTGGGAAAGCAGTCAAGGATGGCCCAAAGCCTTGGAACACTGCACCCCTGTGGGAGACATGGAAGAAGTTCCTGGATCCTGGCTTTGAATCAGCATAGCATTGGCCGTTGCACTCACTTGGGGAGTGAATCATTGGACGGAAGATCTTCCTCTCTGTCTCTTCTCCTCTCTGTATATCTGACTTTTCAATAAAAATAAATAAATCTTTAAAAAAAAAAAAAGCCCTCTCTTGGGCCCAGTGCAGTAACCTAATAGCTAAACTCCTTGCTTCCACACATTGGGATACTATGTGGATGCTGCTTCTAATACCAAAAAACCACTTCCCATCCAGTTCCCTGCATTTGGCCTGGAAAAGCAGTTCAGTACAGCACAAAGCCTTGGCACCCTGCACATGTGTGGGAAACACACGGTCATTCCCCCCCCAGACAAACCAGGCACCATTTGCTTGAGGCTATCCCTGATTATCAAAATGATAGAAGAGGCCATCCCTGCCCCTATGTGCCCTGGAGCCATGAGGCCATCCCCATACACAGGCCCTGTTCATGTGAGTCCATCCCTGCACCCACAAGCCCCTGTCATGTTTTGCCATCGCTGCAGTCAGTCACAGATGTGTGAAGTCTTTGTTGCACCCACAGGCTCTGGACATGAAACACCATCCCAGAACCAAAGGCCCCAGTTGCCTGAGGCCTTTCCTGTCCCCACAGGCCCCAGATGCATGAGGCCATCTATGCACCCACAGACCTTTGTCATTGAGGCAGATCCTGCATCCACAGACCCCTGTCATTGAGGCAAACCCTGCACCCACAGACCCTTGTCATTGAGGCAGATCCTACAACCACAAACCCTTGTCATTGAGGCAGATCCTGCATCCACAGGCCCATATTATGAAAGGCTGTCTTGCATCTAAAGGACCAAGATAGATTAGGCTGACATGAACACAGCTGCCCTGGGCATGCAAGCTATGAACACATGCACAGGCTAAGGCCTCCCCAGACCCACAAGTCTTTGGATGCAAGGCTGTCCCTACACCCAAAAGCCCTTTACCTTGTAGCCCACAGGGCTCCATCATGCAAGGGTGGCCTGCAAGAACAGGTCACAGACACTGAGGCTGTGCTCACACCTAAGAGCCCAACACATGAGGTCTTCCTTCTAGCTACAAGCCTCTGTGGCATGAGATGTCATCCTGCACCCACTCATGCCTTTTGTACAATGCTGCTCCTCCCAGGCCCTTAACACATCAGGCCAGCCTGAACCCAAAGATCCCTGTTGTGTAAGGCCATCTCTACACCCACAGACCTCTACATCCAAGGCCATCTCTGAACCCACAGGCACCAGATGGTAGGGAAGTCCACAACAAAGAGGTCACAATCACACCTGCCCTACTCCTAACCCACAGGCCCTGGCATGCAAGGTCAAATCACATACAAAGAAAATTGACAACAAACTCCACAACATCCCATATGGTGGGACGTCATCCTACACACATAGTCCCCTGTCACACAAGACGATCCCTATTCTGCAATACCTTATTTGTACCCACAGGCCCCAGATGGGTGAGGTCATTACTTTACCCATGGAATCCTGCTGCATGAGGCCCCCACTGACCCTTGTCCAGCAAAGCCATCCCTGAGGTTGTCCCTAAATCCACAGGTTCCTGAGGAGACAAAGGTCATCACTGTAGAAATTGTCCCCTGTAGCATAAGGCTGTCCTCGCACAGCAACCACCAACACTCTGCCTCTGGCTTTGTGCTGACGGGGTCATTCACCTGCTTAGCCCACAAAATCACACCCTTGACCTCTGGCATCTCCTTGCCCAGACCTTGTAGTTGTCATGCCATGATGTCAACCTATCAAACAGGGCCTGGTAAATCAATCTCAACCACAAAAGAACACCTTCATCCTACTCTGTTGTCAGAGAGGCCAGGGCCAAGTCTTCCTCAGGGTAATCTCCAATGGCAGCAGGATCCTGGATGGCTATTTCTCACAGCACTCCACTGTGACTTTAAACTCTGCACTGGACATGGCCCAGCCAGTAACTCCATGCCAGATGGGAACATGGCAAATTCCTTCATTTGCACAATAAAACACCTAATTTTTTCCAGTTTTCAGATGTTTAAACATCCTCTGCTGGGCAGCAGAGCCAGCAGAAAAGAGAAAGGGAGAAGTCATGTCAGGTGCTTCAGAAAGCAGCCCACTTTTGCCTGGCACCCATCCGCACAAGCATAACTCCGGTCACTCACAGTCTCTCCAGTCACTGTTACTTTGCTGCTGTTCATCTAGGGTGAACCTGTGCAGAATGAACTATACATCTCCCAACTCTGACGCCTGCTAAAAAGGCAGAGAGACTCAATTTTGCTGACAATCTTCAAATTCTGGGAGCTCTCCAGGACTTCTTGATTGAGGATACTAGGCAGAAAGTTCCTGATTTGCATCACCTCCATCATCAAGTGCTTGAAGTTCTTGTTTCTGACTGCAAAAACTCCTCCTTTATACTCACGGGCTACAATGAAAAGCACATCTTCTGATCACTGCCATTGCTCCCCAGGCACCTGGCAGACAGCCACCCTAGTCAGTTTCCTTGCCCTACCTCTTGTAGCCCTTGCAGGTTCTCACCTATCTGCAACAAAGCAAACAAATAAATAAACAAGTAAAATTTAAAACTCTGCATATATGACCCCTAGAAACAGAGACCAAGTGTGTGCAGGCACAAGGGTAAAAGGGCAGACAGCAAGCACCCTGCTGGTCAGGAGAAAAGGGGGACCCATCCTGCTGGTCAACTCCCCCTGCAGCACAAACCCTGTAGAGCCATCCAGTCAGAATCCCTGCTAACTAAGAAGGGAGCCCGATGTGGAATTTTCTGCAAAGGGCTACAGGGCTCACTTTCCCTGCCTGCCCCTGCACCATCACAAGCAATGCAAGTGACTACCAGGCAGTCCATGCCAGTTGGATTCTCTCGAAACCTGACACGGAATCCCCAAGGGAGTGACCTAGCACTGACATTCAAAGACTTGGCTTGAGCCATCACTCCTCACTTGACATTCCAGTATGAACTTTTCAATGAGAATTCAATGACTGCCTACTGAAATGTGCAGCCTGGGGACAGCATGGTGGCACAGGTTGAGCCATTTCTTGTGATACTGGCATCTATCGTTGGAGCATGGCAACAAAGTCATTTTCTCTGCTTCCCATTCTGCTCACTGCTCGTGTGCCTGGCAATCACAAGATGGTGCAAGGGCTGGGGTGCTGCACTCAGGGGGAAGACAAGGATGGGAGAGGCTGGCTCTTGGCTTTGGCATGCCTCAAACCCAGGTTACTGGGCACAGCCAAGGGAGAGCGGGATGCATGGCCTCTGCTTTCCTCAATCATTCTACGTTTCAACGAATCTGAAAATAAAATGAAATCTAACTCTACCATTCCAAGCCTTTCATTCCTCGAGGTTTCCTATTTCTCCTTTCAGAACATTTTGTCCCCACAAAATTCTCCTTTCCTGCCACTAGTCCCATGGCAAGGCTAACACTCCTGGGTCTCTACTGCTCTAACCAGCACAGCCCTTGACCTGTCATGACCTTTCCTCTTTCTCTTCAGGAGACACACACACATTACCTGCTCTCAATTTCCAACACCCAAGCATCTCCTGTGCCCCTGGCTCTTCAAGGCACCTATTCCTCCCCGACAGTTCCCCCCAAATCCATCACCCTTAGCACTGCATTCCAAACCCTGCTTTTTCTCCCCCAAACTCTAAACCCAGACTTCCTGTTTTTCCCTCAGCCAACAGCACAGCACATGCTTTTCTTCCCAGGACTTTCTCCCAAGTTTTGATGCACAATTCACTCTGTAGCTCCTGACTCGCTGGTGTAGTCAGCTTAAGGGACCTCCCACCATGCCTGCACGGCTTCCCCTTAAGCCCCCTACCTCACGGGAGGGCAATCCCTTCACTGCCCACCCAAGCCAATGACTCACCCTCCAAGAAGGATAATTCAGCAGGTGGAAGGAGGCACAGCTGGCCTGCTTGAGACAGAAGTCCAGGAATCTCAGCATCCTGAAGAGCAGCCTCGGGAGAGTTGAGGTAACTGAAGTTGCGCACAGCTCTGGGCCCAGGACCAGGTGCATGGCCCCCACACAG